GCAGCTGTTCTCCACTGTGAACTATGTTAAAAACAAACACCGCTCACGCCTCACAGACGACAGCTTACAGTCCTGTAAAGATGAAAGTGACTTCGTACAGCCCCGATTTGCAGACGCTGTGCGCAGAGGTTCAGGAGCAGAAGTCCCATTGTAAACATACCACAGCAGACCCGACGATGTTTCCATGAACACATTTTTCAACATCTCAGGTAAAATACATATTTAGGCAGAAATATCTTTTTTTTTTTACCAGCATGGTGCTTTTTTTCCAATTACTTTTTAAAAGTCAGGTCAAGGCTCCAAAAGCCCAAAGGAGATATGAGGGGGGCGGCTCACAACAGTTTTTGTTTGCTGGATCATTGTAGTTCAGCTTTCCTTTTGTTATATTTCTTTAAGAGTTCAAAATGTGTTAATTACATAAATAAAATGTAATTTTCTCTGTAGCACTTCATGGATTTCATAAGCAACACACCTTAGTTGCTCTGTGGATTCTTTTAAAAAGCAGTTAAAAACTTTTCTGTTCAAACAAGCCTTTTGTTGATCTACGTATTTTATATTCTTTACATTATTTACATTTGATCTTTTACATTGTGTATAATGTCTATTGATTGTATTGTTTATTTTAATATTTGTGTACAGCGCTTTGTGACTGCCTGTCTGTGAAAAGCGCTTAATAAATAAACTTTACTTACTTACTTTAGTTGTTCACACAAAGCATAAAGGTAAAAAAAAAAAATATACAGTGTTATCTTCATTTTAGATGTCAAAAAGTATTTGCGGCTCCCAGTGTTTTCTTTTGCGTGGAAACCGGGTCCAAGTGGCTCTTTGGGTGTTAAAGGTTGCAGACCCCTGATAGGCTATACATACTCAGCTGTGATGATCCAGATCTGTCCATATAGAAATAAACTTTATTGGATACCTTCTTTTCTTATGTTCGGGTCCATATCTATATCCTTGGACTCTGTTAGAGTAGCCTTGCAAGATTTGCAGTTTGTGTTTGTGTGGGTCTCAAACTTAAATGAGCTGTGGGCCCCTGCTGGCACTGTCATGTCATGTGAGGGACACTTTAGTGTTCAAGTAGTACAAAAAAACCCAACCAAACGAACAAGAAAACACTCACAAATATTTCTGAAAATGTAGTCTTTGCAAGACAAAATTGCAAACGTGAACACAACTTTTTTCCCTCCCTCTTAACTAACTGAAGTCTTTCATTGAAGTACCAAATAAGGGCTCGCAAAATTTCAAAATCTCTGTTAGCCCTTCCTGCAGACACTCTTCAGTTTTTGGTAGCCCAAAATAATTTAAGTAGCCTGAAAAAAAAGAGGACAATTTTTTGATTGACTTAAAAAATTGTTAAAACACAAATTACAACAACTGTAAAAAAAATACAATCATCAACTCAAATATTTGGTTCTAACTGAACAGAAACTTCTATGAACTTGTAAGAACTGTGTAGAACATGGATCAGTCTGTGTCAGATCCTGAATCTGACATTTCCACTGAAGTCACGGGTAAGAGGTAAGTGGAACCAAGATCATTTGCTTTGTTTGCAAAGGCTGCTACATTGTGCCAAAGGTAGTTCACTCTTTGCAGCATCGCGCTGTTCTAAACAGCTTTTTCTTCTGCGTTTCTTCTGGACTTCTTGCTGTGCTTGGTTTATTTTTAGTAGTTTTTTTGCAATTGGCGTTTGTTCTGGGAAAGATACTGCAGACTGAGCAATAATGCATTTCTTGCATTTCTCATGGGTTCTAATGGGGTCTTTCTTAAAATTACTGGTCCCAGTAACAAAGGTGCTTGTTATGGAAGCCCGTTTCCGCCACAAAAAAAAAAAAAAATCCATAACTCAAAATTCCAAGTTATTTTCTCGAAATTTCGACATATTAACTCGAAATTTCGATTTATTAACTCAAAATTTTGAGAAAAGTAACTCGAAATTTCGAGTTAGCGCTGCCAATCAGTAATCTACGTGAATGACGTCATTTCCTTGTTACCCGGAAGCTGAAGCCCTCAGCTACAAATGCTACAGCTAAGCTACCGGTATTACATCCAGTCGTGAATGCACAGATTGCTGAGTGTTTTCAGCCTGGCTTCACAAATGATGAAATCCTTGTGTTATTAGCTTGTTAAGAGAATTTTTATTTTAGTTAAATCATTAAAGTATAATCAAGTAGAAACAAGTATGCCTTATAATCAAGTGTTTATATATTTTCACACGGTAAAGCTTACTGTTGAAAAGAACACAATGTATTCCTTGCTTAAGTGTGTGAGATGTTTGACAAAGACAGGATATACATGCATTCTTTACTTCAGTGTCTGAGATGTCAGATAAGCATGAATACTGCTGTGTCGTTGTTTTTCAGTTTGTGTGCAGAAGTTAGATAGCTAAGACAATGCCTGAGCTCTCCCCTCTTCAGTTGAAAGAGGAAGTACTATGTAACCCATTTTGCCTTATAAATAAAGCGAGTAAACGGTGCTCGGTGTGTTAGTCTGCTCAGAGACTCTCACCCGTGCGCACGTCTTTGAAACTCTGAGTCGGTCTGCCAGTGTCTCATTTCTCTCTTACTGTGTTTGAACAATTGTCAACCCCTTGACATTTAATTGGTCCTTCGAGCCGGATAACTGACTGTTATTTTTAACGTCTAGTTTTCCACAGACGGTCTCCATCGGATCCTGACGTCGTGACGCCTGCGCTGGAAGAAATCTGATCAGTAAAACGAAAAACCCGGGAACGTGAATTCGATCTCCGGTCAGCGTTCGGCCTTCACGGCTCCAGGACCCGATGAGCACCGGATCTTAAAACGCAGCGCCACAGTAGAGGTGAATATGACACGCATTCCACCAAGCGCTAAAATACGTTGATATTGAGATTTTCCTTTAAGTAGTGTGTAAACCTAGGTACGCCGACAGATCTCAGTGTCCATGCGGGACTAGGAAGACGACAGGCAAGAGCGAAATTCTAGAAAAATCGCTATTAAAAGTTCCGGTCGCTCTGGGAGTGGCTGTAACGGAACAGGTTTCCGGTCACTCAAGAAGAGTGGCTGAAGGTGAAGGTGTTACACAAATAAATAGGCCTACGGAAAATCTCAATAAAAATCATAGAAACGCGCTTTGTTTGTGAGGAGTGAGTTGTTTTTACGACCCAATACGCGGTCGAACCACTTCTCAAACTGTTTTCCTGTGAACACTCACGTATTGGTAAAGGTGAAAAGGGTTGTGCTTCATCACGTAAAATCGATAACCGCTCTCTCAATTAGTGAGAGAGTAGAAGGCTGTTATCGAAAACCCATTCTCACTTTTTCATGCCAAAGAAGGTGTCACAGTTTTGACGTAATTAGTTCAAAATGGGTAACTCTAAAACTAAAGTAAAATTAACAGCAGATGAAGGATGGTTGGAAAAAAACTGTCCAAATGCAGGAAGAGTCAGTGCAAATAGGTGGAGAAATCCACATAAAATTTATTGCCCAGCCTGGCAAGGCAAATGCAATCAAGAATCAATAACTGCTTTAAAGGCTGCTTTACAAAAAGAACTATTTGAGGAAAAGAGCCAAAAGAAAAAAGCAAAACGCTTAGCAGAATGGCACCTTTTCAAGGCGTGGATGGTAGAAAACGATAAACGCATTGCTAAACGTGCCCAAAAGCAGGAAACTAAAGATAAACAGAAAACTGCAGGAGAAGAAAAACCGTACCCCCCTCCTTATGCTCCTCAGCCTGCACAGCCTGCAGCAGCTGCACCTAACCCTACGTCAGCACTTCCTGTAAGCTCTCCTCACAAACCTTTTGTTTCAAATCCCTATACGGAGGCCAGACAACAACTTGATCTTATGACTAAGCATGGTCATTCCAAAAAAACAGAAATTGTAGGTCAGTTTCCAATGGTAGCCTTATCTAACCCCAGGTACGGTCAACCCACTGGTCCCCCAGACGCCCAAGGAGTCATACCAGTAGACGGTGAGCCTTTAATTTATGCATTCCGACCCTGGTCTCATAAAGACAGAGAGAATGTACTAAAAGATGTGCCACCCCTTAAAGAAGGCTTCCGGCCGTGGCGAGATGCAGTGGAATTGATCCGTCAGGGGTGGGGTTTAAATGGTCATGAGATGCATCAAGTTTTTCAAGATTTATTAGGTTTAAGTCTTCCTAGAGCTAGAGGTCAATTTACAGGAAATGATCTAAACGGTGACGTGTTGGGGCCAGAGACTCCCCAATTAATACAGGAGCTTAATAACTTGTATGGCAGAATAGAAGTTATTTTAGCCCCAAGGCCAGATTATGGAAAGATAGGAGAGTGCAAACAAAAGGAAGGAGAGACAGCATCAGACTATTTGGATCGCCTACGCCCAGTTTTCAGACAAAACTCAGGGCTAAATTATGATGCCGATCCACTGTCTGCTTTTCAACAACAATTAAAAAATGCCTTCCTAAATGGTCTACTGCCCAAGATAAAAGCACATGTAGACAAACACTGGGTCACTCAAAATACAGGAACCTTGCCTGAGGCCCTACAATATGCTGAGCATGCAGTCAAAATTCAAAAACAAAAAGAAAAAACAGAAGGAGTTTTCATGATTGATCCAGAGACAGGCTTTATAGCCTTCTCAGGACAGCAACACACGGCAGGTTTTAAGCAAAGTAGGGGAAAGCAAAAAGCAGGACAAAGAAGAGATAGAAGAGATATGAGATGTTATAACTGTGGTAAAATCGGGCACTTTGCTCGAAACTGTAGAAATGTAAGCCAAGAACAGGAAGGTGGAGATGACAGGCGCAGACGCCGTGATTGGGATTCTCTTTTTTCCCCCCTGTTTCGGCGGGTACACCGGCTTCCGCGAGTGTGATGCTTATTTTGAGCGATGAAAAATAATAAAATATAATTTTATTTTTATATTTCAATATCACAATAATCTTCCAATTTAGAGCTACAAGTTAAAAAAGAACTAAAGACAAATAAAATACACTTCAGCTAAATACTTCTAATTTATTTTCCCAAACCACGCGGAGCCACACTATAAGGACTAAAGAGCCGCAGGTTGCCGACCCCTGGCCTATATTATAAATTACTTTATAATGCAAATTAGCTTACACTACCAATTACAAGCTTAAACTGAGGAATGTCTTTCTTCAACTTTTTTTGTACCTGGCATGCTATTTGTCCTATTTATTCAGGAGAGATGCTTCCTTTTAGTGGTTGGCTGTTTTGTCCCTAAATGTATTGTTCTATTTAAAAGTTCACTGTATAAGTCTATACAATACAATAAAGTCTATACAATATTTTTTTCTTATTGATCAGAAATATCATCAGAAATAAGAATGTTACTGTGGAAATCATGCTTTCTGGTGTGACATCTGACACACAGGATCACATGGTCGATATTGGTGATGTGTCTCAGAGGAAGGAGCTCAGAGAGACGCTTAAATGTAAACCCTTCAAATGGTACTTGGAAAATGTCTACACCAGTCTGTCAACATGGGATAACATGTTGGGTTATGGTGTGGTAAGTGGCTTTTTATTTTGCTTTTTGAGCACTTTGTCACAAGGACAAAAATATCTATTAGAGTAAGTTCAAGATAAGAAATGTGGTTGTGTTAAAAGTTCAGTTGTATTTCTGGAGGATTTCCATGATTTAAGACTCTAAATGTGGTAAATTTAAAAAAATAAAGTTTAAAAAAACATGTAGTAGCAAAGCCCAGGAGATTTAAATATATATTTTGAGAAACTGTACCCACACAGTGAGTATATGATTCAGTACAAAGCAATTAAGCAATTTTGACACTCCAGTTACGGAACGACCTTCTTAAGAGCCACTGTGTGGACCAAGGATCTGTTCCTGGAAATATCCCCATCCTGCATGAATGCCACTTCCAACAACCACAGGTAATGTAGAGTACCAAACTACCAGGATAATAAATATGACTGAATATAATTTGAAGTTATTACTTTTCCTTTTAACAGCACTGCTACTACAACACAGATGGTGAAATAATCATTGGGGGGATTGCATCTCACAATTATAACAGTGATCGCTGCCTGGTTGATCCAGGCTCTGGAAGTTCTCCCACCCTGCAGGACTGTCCACTGGCAAAAACGAATGAACTGCACATGCACTGGGACTTCAAACAAGTAAGATCTTGGTCGATAACAATCATGGTAATGTTTAAATGGCGTCCCTGTATAGTGTCTTTTCAGGTGCCACTGGTGGGAGGTGCTAAAGTCAAAAATGTTCAGATGCTCCTACTGACATACTCCAATGGTTTTTTTTACAAACACTTGTTGTGCACTGTTGCCTCACACTTTCTCTCAAACTGTGGCAGGGCCAAGCAATCATAAACAAAGCAACAAACAGATGCCTTGAAATCGTCCAGGGAGCAAACTTTTACTATGAACTCATCATTCAGCAGTGCAGTGGACAGAGCTGGAGGATCGAGCATCTCGTCACAAGCTTTTAGTGCCGTTTTTAACATGACCGTGTGTTATATTAAAGTGTGCTCAAACTCGATCTCATTTAAAATAAATTTCTTTTTTAAAAAAAGGTCAAAACCATTTAAGCGTGTTTTTGCAATGACATCGCTGACTACCCTGGAAAATGTTTGCAATTCTACAGTGCTCACTACAAATAACTAGAGTACACATTTTCTACCTTTCCTGGAGTTTAAACAGTTATGACATAATAATGAACAGCTAATGTGCAAAATCCAGAAATTGACATTTTGAAAAGAGGTTTATTTGATTCATGAAAATATAGTATAATATATCCATATGTTGTGGTACAATAATTATGATATAGTGTTGTGCAAAATATTGAAAAACACAGGTGTGCAGGTGCAAGCATTCAAGTTCATTAGACTGGTGTGTCATCTCTTTTTACCCCTTCTATTGTGCAAATAGCCACAAGTAAAAATAGCTTTATTGCTCCGGTTAAATGTAGTCACGACCTGTAGTCTTTGTCAATACACAGATCCACAGATAATACCTTTTAAGAATTATCTTTCACAGAACTGACATTGAACAGTTGCAGCAAGAAAAACAGGAATGCATGATGACTGTACGGCTTGGACGTCACCTGTGAGTGAATAAAAGGGCTCTTTGTCCACTTTATGTAAACCTGATTGTGCTGCAATGCTAAACTCCATTAACTCTGCATAATTTTACAGATGCAAAAACAATACTTTAATTCATTTAAGATTTAATCTCTTTATTGTATCGTGTTTAGATTTGGAATTTTTAAATCTCTTTTGTATATTTAAAATTTAGTTGAGCTCATTCTTTAGTGTACTTTTTCATTCTGAGATATTTATCTTATTGAGCTAAGCTGTGGATTTTTTCATGTTTTGACTGGTGTAACAGTAATTTCCCAACTTTAAGGACAAATTAGGTTTTTGTTTTCCTTCTTTTTGACTAACTATAGATTGATTATAGATTAACGAGCAATTTTAATTTTTTCTTTTATTTTAACAAAATTGTGAGTGAGGTGATGGTGTGATATGTGTCTCAGATGCAGTGGAGGGGTGGTCCAGTGGGTCCAGGTGTGTGGTGTCCTGGCAGGCATTGTGTTATTAAGCCTTCCCTATTTGAGTAACTGCTGGAGCCCAGAGAAGATAGAGAGAACAGGACAGAACTGTTCTAAGCACATATTCAGCTGCAGAGAACAAACAGCTTAAAAAGCAACAGTGAATAAACATGCATTTACCTTGTACTGCTGTGTGCGCCAAATCCTTTGCCACAACAGCCTCACTAAATCAATTAACGTCTGGCTCGAAAGGGAAAAACTATGACCAAAAACAACAATTTGCTGTAAATGTATGCACTCAATTGACTACTAAAAGTCAAATGTAGTCTGGAAGGTTTCTAGGTGTGTAGTTGCCGTCAAAGTGAAGCCATTGTTTAAAACTTTGTTGGATGTGACTCATAAATACTTGGAAAAAGGTACAGGAAATAGGGATGTGTTCAGCTGAAGCACCTACCAACACACTAAGGTATTGTCTGTGTGTGCCACCAGGTCTAAATGAGGTTCAGATTAAGGTTATTGCACACACCTATGCATGTGCCTCCCTGTCTGGCTATGGACAGAATTTCTAAATGGAATAATGTCACACAAACTCAAGATGAAGTTAAGAAACTTTACAGGTATGTCACTGACACGAAATTTACAGCTCAATTGAAAGATATGGGTGGTCTAAGACATGCTGCTGATAAATGCAACCTGTTTCATAATGGAACCGTAACAACCGTGACAACATTATACTTTTAACCTTGGGTGTGTCTATGGTTTTCGTTCCAAGACATGCAAAGTATAAAAGACCACAAAGGCAGTTTTGAAAACAACATTAAGAAATATTTACACTCTTTCACTGTCAAGCTTTTACATATTAGGATTTAAATTTGAAGAAAGAAGAAAGAAGGATAAAAGAAACATAAAAAAAATATCATCTGATCTTTAGAAGGTCTGGAGGATTTGGGTGTGTGTCTGGGAAGGGTTACAAGTTTCAAATGCTTTGAAGTTCATCATTCCACACCGATAAAGATTATTCACGAGTGGAGAAAAAAATGTCAGACACTTGCCAATCTTCCCAGGACTGAACATCTCAGCAACATCACCAGAAGGTCAAAATGTGCAATGTTCAGAGAAACTGGAAAAGAAATCCACATCGCTGACTCTACAGGGCTCTATTAGAATATTCAAGTTAATGAAAGTATCCAAAGAAAAAGACTGAACAAGACTCGCTTGTTTGGAAGGATTACCAGGAGAAAGCCTCTAAATTCTAAAAAGAACACGGCAGCACAGGCTAGGGTTGGAAAATTGTATCT